TTGTAGGGTAGTAGCAAGCCCCTTGACTTGGGAAGTCCAATTTGATGATATTTCTAATGTAAGATATGATTATATTGTTGAATATATTTCAGATTCATCACATTACAGACTTCATATTATGGTACATATTTCAGGGGGAAGAAGAGGTCCAGGAGTCAAAGGCCAAAGGCTTGAAAGCACAACGTTCACCTAGTGCATGGCTATTTTTCTAGTATAAAAAATTTTAAATTATTTTTTGGTTAATGTTTATTTGATAATGTACCCATTTGTTGTACTTCCATTACAGTAAGGAACAAATGGAGAATATCAAAGGAAAATGCTGATAAAAAAGTCACACGCGAGGTATAATTTGTGTTACAAATAGCGAGTACTGTTTGGAATAGTGAAATTAATAATGTCTTCCAATTGAACTTGTACTCATAACGTGATTAAACAACTGGTTGACCAATGGAGGAAGATGGCAAATAGTGAGAAACAGAAATATAGAGAAATGTCTATACATGCAAAGAGTGAATATGATCGTGTGAAAGATAATTTTGGGAAAGTAACAGTATGGGTAAATATATAATGTCGATGTTAATTTTCATGTGCATGGTTTACATTTACTGCACCTCTCCAACTGACTTTTTTGTCTATGTTTTTACGAATTATCAAAGGGGACGCTTGGTACAAGGTGTTCGCTTGAAAAAATTGTAAAAAATGATACGAATTTTATGTGATGAGCAAAAAGCTGGAATAAAAGAACTTGGTTTTAGGGGCATATTGAGCCTTAGATGTGGGGAACTGAAGCGGGGTTTATGTGCATGGTTGATTGAACGGTTCGACACTATGTCATTGACATTAAATGTCTACGGTGAAGCTATTCAGTTATCAACCATGGATGTAGAATATGCCATGGGTTTGAGAAATGAAAGGTTGGACGTGGAGACTACTGGTCCCAGTGAAAGAATGCATGACATTTGGAATTCATTGTTCAATGGTTGTGCACTGAAAGTGGCTTCGGATGAGTTTAGGATATATTTTGTGCTATTTCTTATTGGACATCTTCTATACCCAACCATGCGTACTTCAATCAGCTGCAGGTATCTTCACACTATTGTAGACGTTCCTTCTATAGGAAAGATAAATTGGGCAAAATTTGTATTTGATGGTATGGTTGAAAGAGTACGAAAATATCAAAATGTTAGTGGATGTTTACTTATTCTTATGGTAAGACATCAATTTATTTTTTTAGTATTTTTATGTGGTGCTTATTTAACAATACTTTTACTGAATTACCTATTTTAATTATTTAATGTAGATAGTATATCTGGAGCGGGTCACACCCAAAGGGGTGTTTGTTAAACAACTGCCTTGTAGGAGCAACCCTCGAATTGCTGCATGGGGGGATGAGGAAATTAAGAAACATGTAAGTATGTTGAATAAGTCCAAACGACTAGAGTGTCAAGAAGTTACTTGCAAAGTGTTTAACGACACCATGAATAGACCCCCACCAGTCGTTACAGTAAACTTTAGTAAACGATCCACCCATGAAGTGAAGCAAACTATTTTGACATCAGATGATAAACTACCGGTACGTATACCATGATACTAAAATCACATTGATTTATAATTATTTTTTCCACGTTATGAATTGTGTAAATGTGCAAGAATGGGAGGCTAGAATGTGTAGGATGGAGAATGCTATTGTTAACCTAACTGGCATGGTGGGCTCAATGGTTAGCATGATGCAAATGTTCATGGGTGGATCGTTTCCTAAACCATCAAATTACCAAGAGATAGACAATGATGCTGCTACTGGAGAAGTTGATGAGAAAAAAAATAAAATTGACTTGAATGAAAATGTAAATGCAAACTCCTGTGATGAAGTGGATGTGGATTACCGGATTTGGACACCCATTGCCGCTGTCCGCACCCCACCACCAAAACCATTCTAGGAGGCACAACGATTGCCATTGAATACTGGCAATGAGGATTACAAATAGAATAACGTTGGTGACATGCAAGAGGCTTCTTACTCATGCACCCAAACATCGTTCCCACCAATGCAGCTAAGAAGAGATTCTAAAAGGAGGCCAAGCAAATATGTGATTTCACCATATGAACAGCCAAAGTTATAACATACAACTTAATGTATTAATTAAGTTATACAATATCCTTACTTATACTTTACTCCCTTCAACTACAACATCGTTGGGTGAAGAAGGATGATAAGAAAGAGGGCAAGGGGGAGGTGAATAATCCCCCAGATCTCATTCAACCAGGCTTGAACAGTTCCATGCATAAACATTTAATGCCTAAGGTTATGACAACATTTATTATTATCCAATTTTTTTTACATGTGTATGTTCAATTTTGCTTTGCACAGGGTGGTTACAGCATGAATTGTTACAACAACAAGGCATCGATCGATGTGTACAAGACTCCGCACCATCCTGCTAACAAACTAAAATTGTCTTGTAATAGTGCATCAGTTGCTGAAATTCATAAGGTCTGATTTTTTCCATTGTTGATTATGTGACAAACTTGAATGGTAGTTTAATATCATGGATTGGGTAAACAGATTTCAGATTTTACTTTGGGTATTCCACAACACGTTGAGGAATATGAAAATGTAGACATACCTTATCCTGAAGATAAGCAATTGATTCTGAATTACATATTTGACAAGAATCTTGACATGAGGTATATTTATTTTAAATGTAACCATTGATACATTTTAAAATATGTATTAATATGTGATCAAAAATATTTGTATGCTTAATTTTGTTTTTTGTTTAATATTTAATTTTTTTATTTTTAAAAATAGAGAGGTTTTAATTAGGTTTGAACATGACCATGCTGGATGCCATTCCCTCATGACATTATTACCAAAGCAGTGGTTATTTGATTCGGTTGGTTAAGTTGGTGTTTTTTTATTTTAATTTTATCCATACATCATTACCATGACTTAAACCAGTTAAATTTTACATTGGTATTTTCCTATGATTGTAACAGGTTGTGGACTTGGCGCACAATTTGTTAAGGAAGATAAGAGCAATCCAAAAATTGGGTTAGAGAGGTGGTACCTACCCACGTGGTTCTCGGTAATAAAATTGTGTTTATTTGTAGTACCTAATTTTATTTTAAACAAAATTACATCCAATATGTTGATTATAATTTTGTTTGTTGTATTCAGCAACATGCACTGTCTCGAGTTGTGGCTAATAGTGAAAGTAATAAAAGTTTGCTTCAATCTATGTGTGCTATAAATGGGAAGTACATAAAAGATTTTACATACTGGAGAAGGTGTGTATTAACCATATTGTTAATCCGTTTTGATTTCAAAGGCCTAACATTAGTTATGTTGATTCACGCTTATCAACAATGTTTGTTGTGTAAACAAATTTAGAAATACATCCCGATCAACGAGAAAAACTCCCATTGGTATCTATGCGTCATTGACATAATTGAACATAAAGCTCATTTGTTGGACCTGCTTCCTTGTGACGATATGTCTATTCGGCTGAATGATGTGCATAATGTGCATAATGTCACCTTAATGAAGCTACACAAGATAACTACCAACCTTTTTTGGGAACATTCTTTCTCCGCCCCGTCTTGGGCCCCACGTCAAGGGAATGACTATGATTGTGGAATGTTTGTTGTTAAGATGATCCTGTCTCCAGTGCTTTGTCCAAGCTTTTGCATTAAGTTGACCTCTATAACATACAACCTACGACATGTCGCGATTGTATCATTTGATAATTTGTTTATATCCCTTGTCAAATCTCATTAATTTAACCACTTGGTATCATTTGATAGCAAGAAGATTCGAATGAAATGAGGATGAACTTTGCCTTTTCAACAGCTACTCACACTGACAACAAAGTTCGGAACAAACTCATACATAAGGCCCGAGAATGAGGGATAGAAACAGGGAAATGTAGAAGTATGTTAGCATGAATGTGAGAATGTAGGCGGTCTGTATATAGTGGAATACAATGTTGAATTGTGAATGGAATGTGAGTAGGTAGACGTTATGTATATAGTGGAATACAATGTTGCCTGAGAGGTGGAATGTGCTTTGTTATGCGAGATGTATCTATTGGATTACAATGTTGCTTGAGGGCTGGAATGTTCTTTGTTAGGAAGGATGTATTAATTGGAATATAATGTTGATTGGTGAATGAAATGTGCTTATGTAGGTAGTATTTATATATTGGAATACAGTGTGGATAGGTGATTGGAATGTACACTGTGTCATGAATGCACATAGTAATTAGTTTAACCACACCATCAGCACTCAGAATGACATCTTGTACAACATCACCATTTTTTTTTAAGGAAAAGATAAATTTTATTGAGTATATCCACAATTCAAAGAAGCAACACATTTTAACAAGAAATATATTAGCCAATATTATGGCTTTAATCCTTTAAGACAATAGAATATGACAAAAATCATTCATGTAGATGCCCGATTCCTCAACCAAGCAGCATTCAGCTGTTGCTTTGTTATATATGCATCGAACTAGTCAAATCTTTTTCCTCACATTGGGCAAACCCGATTGATCTTGTGCCATTAGCATATATCATATTTACAAAGACCAAAGAATCTGCCAAAATTATCTGCCTGTACAGTCAATGAAACATCACAATCCAGCATATACCTTACCAACTGATCACCAAATAAACCAGACACAGCTGCACCATAGGCAACTAAGAAAATGGTAAAAATTTTATTTATGAACAAATCATCATTACAAGAAGCAACGGAGAAAGACAAACCAATCTCCATAACATAACAAATAACACTTGTTTGAGTTAAAGCAAAACAATCCATCCAATGTACTAATAGTATAAACCATACAAAACTTGAACATCTTTCCTTACCTACAAGTTTCAAACAAATCAACACTACGTACAGAGTACATACCATCACAAATCACAACACAACTCGACCACAACACATGCATTCACCCTTAATCCGCTACGTCACACATGCATTCACTAATCCTTTAATGCACACATTCAAATATCACTTCTTGGACTTCGTAGATTTCTTGTACACAATGCTTAGCCTCATACTGGCCAGACAAGATCTTCTCTCTAGCCTTTTCAGCCTTTGATATGTGGATGCTCTCCATCAGCACACATTTATTCTTGAGAACATTACCCTTCACCCTCATGTACATGTCATGATACATGTGCTTGTCAATCTTCTTTGACTCCCTATACTTGCGAAGCAAGTGCCTAAGGACCCTCATTCTCCTCATCCACAAGATTTTTGTCGGCAACCTCGCTTCCCTTGTACGCTTGCACTTACCTGAAATCATATGACAAGCACATGCATTAAAATCCAGGCTTGTCTCTCCCCCCTTCGACCATAAAAAATGAAATACATCTAGGACACAACTGGAGAAGACACTGACTGGGTACTTTGATATGTTTACTTATAGACTGCTGGTGCCTCATGCTTCCTGATACAGTGCCCAAGTACGATGAGCAAAGTGCCTGCATTCAAGGTGAAAAAGTAAATGGACAATTATATAAATTGGGAAAATAAAGAATATAGGGGAAAAGAATGAAATCGACGGAACTTTAACAACATGCTCTCACTGATTCCTTTAGTAGGTTAGAGATGAATAAATTTGGAAGAAACATCACCTCTATTTGATCCTAACGGCCCTTTCTCTTGGCCTCCTTCATCTGGCGTGCACGAGATAGCGAATGAATCTTAGTTGGTTTCCGGATGATGAAACCATCCTTAACCAGCTTCCTTATGTTTTACCCTGTACACAACCAAGCCAAAAAAATACATCTGCACCACTAATACCCAGGAACATCAAGCATGATTGCAACAAGCATAGATGATTATACAAAAGCAAAACAAACAATCACATGCTTTCATAACATGAGGCATGCAATCGCTACCCTGCAATCATAAATAATGTTCATCTTAGCACATTGTCAAACTCTTAAACATTTTGGCTAGTGCAACCACAAATCTTCTGGAATCCATATTTTTTTGTATGCATCTGCCGATATACAAATCCACTGTAACAATTTCAAAAAGTAGATTTCACCTAGTGCAGAACTTTATGTACATCTATCTAAGACTGTAAGTGTACATATGAACCAAAACCAAGAATGTAAATAGTTGCTCCACCACCATCAGATATAGGACTCTTCCTTGAATGCCCAATGAAGAAATACACACATCATAGTGTGTGTAGTGTCGTATGTATGATTGTATCTCTCAATTTGTTCTCCCCATCGATAACCAAGTTAATAGCCACCTCCCTTCGAATGGCTTCACTCTTATCCTGCATTTAACAAATGTGAACCATTACAAATAACACTTTTTTTTTATTGTAGTATTATTAAAGATATTCAGCAGTGTCAACACTGACTGTTTATTGTTATTCACCTTTTGTGTAAAACCTTGCCTCAAATGTGATGATTGCATCATCTTCAGAACAAAAATTCCACAATCAAAACCATTGGCTTGTTTGGGCATCCAGGCTGGTTTAACAAGTTTCCATGTGCCCAATTTGTGTTTAAAATCGGGAGCCCTAGTTGCAAGAATGTCGCCCAAAACCTCAATCTACAAAACAAGTTTGGAATGTAATTGCCCAAAAAAATAAGATTTGATGATAGGTATCCTTTGCTAAATGAAAACAATAAGTATCTTACAACTCTATTTGCATTTGCATGTCGATTGTTGTTTCCTTTTGGATTTGGCAGAGGATCGAGTAGGAATGTTTGTTTCTCCTCTATATCCACCAATAGTAGATACCAATGTGATTTTTCATTGATCATTGGGACATAAATCTACATACAAACATACAATTATTCATAAAATCCGGTTTAGGTATATGATATGCAGCATGGATTAACTTAAAAATAATTAGAAAATAATTTTTTCAATATACACTACCTTTGTAGTTATTGTAAAATCAGGGAGTGGGAGGCGACTAAACTTATGCTTTTTTTGAGTTACCCTTGCACTCTGACTGCGAATGATGGTGCTTGAAATGGCTTGTTGCTGCATAAATTTACGAACAGACACCCATTAATATGTTTGTTATTAACTCTCCGAACTTTTTTTTTTTTTTTGCATAATGCAACTAAAAATACTATGAAATAAAAACATGTACTTAAAGAGAAGACGGTAGGTAAGTCCCATCATCCCATCTGTGAAGCGATACATGCACACATATCAATGACCTATTACTTTTTTGACACGATATTTTATTTTCATTCTCATAACGTCACAACAATAAAATAAAGAAAATTAACATTCACGAACAACTTCACTCAGCCAATGGTGTGGGGCAAAGGTCTATAACACTTCCCTCGTGCTTCGTATATGGTCACCAACTGATACCAGAATCTCACTATACATAAACAAAACACATTAATTTTATGCACTGTTGCATTGAAAAATAATAGAATTAGCAGTTGTTAAGCATAAGATATATCGTCAAATATAGGGTACACCAACACATACTCAGATGGCAAGTTTTTGCCAAATATGTAAGTGTAGATTGCGCGCTCCACATCATCATCGATATGGGTTATTCATGGAAACACCACATTTACCATCTACAACGCAATTTATCTTATAAGGGGTTCACAGTGCCACTCACCTGAAAACGCATGTTGAATTTTTAATACAAAAATTAATAAATCATACATCATCTTGTTGGTGTCCCTCTGTAGCTTGTGAATCATCCAATTCAACCTACAATATAAAGTTTGCATTTTTTAGTTCACGTCACCAAGCACATGCATTAAGAGATGTGGTAATACATTAAACAACACATTTAAGGTTTCAGCAGTACAACGGATTATATACACACCTTTGTGAGATCAATTTCATCTTCTTTGTTCTTTTCCCCCATGTGATGTGGGATATCCTTCGTAGTAGCCGATTTATCAACAAATTGGGACACAATTTTTCCAATCTCACCCAGTCAGTTCTCCATCACAAACAAAGAAGTTGTGCAGTGTGATGCAAAAGTATCAAACTTTTTTTTGTTTGATCGGCAACAACCTCAAGTCTTCCAATTCTTACCCACAAATCCTACTAACCAATATACATAATAATTCTCAGTACAGTCAAATATTTGCAGCCACAAATTAAAAACATTAATTTAAATGAAAAATAAATTGTGGTAAATGTATTCGCCATGCCCTTCTAGTAGGCTTCTTTGGGAAATATATACATTATTCATGGTATATTTACATTTGTCCGACACTGCTTTCTGGGATGCGGTACCAAGTGCATCATCAATTATCTCGTCCTCAACAAAAACATCCAACTAAATACATAAAACGAATGGAATATGTACGTCAAATAGTATGTAATACAATACCTTACAACAGTACATATGAAAAATAATAATAATAATAAAATGTATACCTCTTCCAAATTGAAGCCTCCTAACTTCAAGATATCATTCATTCTTTTACTGACATCACTGTCACCCCACTCTACAATTCATGGGACCTCACGAAAAGCCAAAGGAATGATGGTTAGTCCTCTCGGTGTAACTCATTCAAGATAGAAAACCTACATACCAAATAAATTGAAGACCATAAGACATTATTTACCCATTTTATACAACATAAAAATTAACAAACACGTCCTGTATAAGTAAATTACCATCATAACTACAAGATAGCCACCCAATGATCCCCGTCCAGAACTTTGAAATTTTTGAATGCCTTTGATGACTCTATCAAATACAAACTTGCACCAATTAGTATGTCTTAATGAAGGCACGTCAACAACAGAGTGTAATGCAGCAACACTTAGCATTGTTCGCATTGTTGGACGAAGCATACAAGCAATAATATATAAAGCAGACAACCATCAGAGGCATCTGTGATTGAACTAAGGCGATCCGACAAATGTTTCAAAGATACCTTCGGTTGTCTGTTAAATAAAGACGTACAAAGATCATTAATGTTGTCATGTGTACCCGTTGTCACCACATTTGTCACTGAAAATTGCAAACCTAGTATGTAGGTGACACCTTGGGGGCTGAATTTCGTCAATTTCCCATATAAGTTGAAAGCACATCGATGGGGATCAAATCGTCCTGCCAACCATGCACACAAATCATGTCTGATACATGTGCATTGTATGTTGAGCAAGCCCCCCAAGCCAATTTCGCTGATAGCTTGTTTTTGTGTAAATTTGCTTCGAATTTTAGTATTCTTTTTGGTGAACATCTGGTCGCCACATAATGTTGTACACGTTAAGTAATGGAACTATTAATATGGAACAGTACATGTCAAGTTAAACAAACTAATTATTTATATGCATAATAGTGTAAATAAATTAAAGTAAGAATGTATAACATACTTGTCCAAATGTCTCGCCTATACTATACGCCCATTTTTGTCTTTGTCGCTTCCCTATCGTGGCAGTAGCAACCAATTGTTTTCTCTTAACCCTGGTGCAATTTGTTGTCATTTAATAAAAATTGTGAAAATATAACATATAAAATTATGTAAGAACAATCAAATTTCTATATATTGTCTTTGCTGAAGATGTAAATATTATTATCCACAAAAGGTCTTCTAAAATGAATCACCGGTACCTACAATACACCATTTATTGGATTAGATTTGATTATAAATGAAATTTACACAGAAAGCAAAATATCACAGGACATTGCAAAAAGTGGTAAATGAGACCTAATATAAGAAGATTCCTATTCACGATATGGGTTAATTAAACATCTAAATGAGAGTGTACTAATGAAGATGCAGTCAATGCCTAAAAAAAATAACCTCCTCTCAATGCAATAATCATGAATTACGGGCAAAACATCTTTAATTACTGTCTTTGTGAAAATTGAATTTTGAAAACCCGAAAACAACTCATTTCAAATTTTGTACCAGACAAATTAAATTTTGATCTATATCACTCAAGATTTTATCTGGAATAATCAAGAATCACCATCATAAACAAGATTAAATTTTGAAGAGGTTAAAAGCATGCTATAATACTCGTTCTTGATGGCACAAATGTATATTATGACTAGCGATAACCCATGCATGAAGGCACTGGTTGATTCAAAAAATTTGAGCATTATTATTTGGAATGAGCAAGTGATGAAAAGAACATATATAGAATGTGGAATCATGTAGGTTTGAAAAAATATGCCACTTCCACTACAGCATGCTAACAATATCCAAATTATTGAACTCGTTGGACCATCCATTAAAAAAATTAAAGAATGATGACTTCGCATAATTATTTGGAATCGAAAGATACACAACTAAATTATTCACACCTAAAGTAACTGAGAGTGATGCAATTACCAAATCAATTCAAGTAGAAGAAATGCAATTAGCAATCCAAAATTTTGAAGCGAATCTAAAATTGTCCTGCCAAGTTTGGACCAAAATCAAACATGAAGTAATTACAAAATTCATTGAACCTTATCAAATCAAATTAAAATTACATCTAATAAATATGAGTTCACCTAAAGTTTTTGCAAAATTCGCATCAAAGTAAACATTTATCAAACTGACTTCACAAAATTCAAAAGTGTGTCAGTGATATGAGTGTGTGTGCAGTGATGAAAAACAGAGGGTTTGGGGTAAGGGGGTGTGTTGTATTCTGTGGGTATTGTTTGGGCGGAGGGTTGTGTTGGGGGGTAAGAGGGAGGGGTTGTTCTTTGACAGTGTGTGTGTGTGTGTGTGTGTTGTGTTATGTGGGACAAACTTGGGGGGTAGGTTGCACAGACGGAGCAGATGGAGGGGGTGGTACTACGAGTGTATGTGTGTGTTGTGATTTGGGGGTACTGTTTGGGAATGGGTTACGCAGATGGGGAAAATAGAGGGGTTTCGCAAAAAAGGGGAAAACTTTGTGTTGTAGGAGGGGGGTTGCGTGCGTGTGTGAGAGAGAAGTAGATAAGAGGGAGAATTATCTGGGAGGGCTGTGGCGGTGAATCTGACAGTGATTGACGGCGAGAAAAAATGTCGAATGTGATAATTGTGTGGGGCTGTGGTGATTTTTGATTGTCATTGTTGGAATGGGCAAGAAACCTGTCAAACTGCTGTGGAGAGAGAGGGGGAAGAGGGAAGAGAGATAGAGAAGAGGTTTTGAAAATGTCAGTTCTCAAAGAGAGATAGAGAGAGAGTAGACTAAGAGAGAAAAAAGGGCAAAAAGGGAAGTTAACGATTGGGGGATTTGGGCAGGCAAATGACCGGGTTTTTTTTTATTTGAATTTTGAATATGAGATAATTTTGGGTGTTTTGTTTGTTCAAAATTCATAAATAGGGTTATAAATCGAGACAAGATATTTTTTTTTTATAGATTTTAAAAATATAAATAAAATATTACTGTATTCCAACTAACATAACATGTAATTTAAGTCATCCAAAAAAAATTATAATTGGCATTAAATTACTCAGAATAGTTGAATAACAAAGAAACAAAATTGGAACCATAAAAAAAAAAGTGTGAACTAATCCAATCCAATGGGTATATATATTAAAACTAATTTGTTAACAAACTTACAAGAATGTGCAACACATGTACGACACGATTAAACGAAAAAAATCAAAATGAATTACTCAGGTTTCCATATGAGAAAATTTCTCATTCGTTAAACGGGTTAACACATCATAAACGTTTATTAAGTAGTGAATTTTTAGGTCATTCCTGTCAACCCTTAAAACATACTCGTCTACCCATTTAATAACTATAATATAATAATATCTTAATAATTACTATAAAAATGTTATCCAGAATTTTTTTATTTTTTAATGCCAACAAAAAAAAATTATATAAATTGTACTTAGTTACACCCATAGGATTTACAACTGTTATGAGTGTATTTGAACTCAATTGTGGTAAATAGTTTACAATTTTGATGAAAAGCCATGCAAACTTGATTGTAATTTATTACATAGCATTAACAGCTAACCACCACATACCAGCTTGAATTTAATGAGCCTCACCTACTAGTAATAACCATTTGGGTAGCAAATAACAAGTATTAGCCCTGAATCAACTCCATCTGCATGATTCAATATCTACATCTGCATGAGAGGAAAGGAAATTCTATAGGTATGTCATACATGATACCAACTATTTTCAATGCCATTAATTTTGAATACATTAGAATAATGTTTGATTATGTGTTCCTTACAGTAATTCAATTATTTTAATAAATATATGTCCAACAACAATTTTTTCTCATTATTGTAATCCATAAATTTCAATTTTTGCATTATAGTAATAATAATAATATAAATAAAATTTGTATATTAGGTTTCAAGCTTAAAATGGCTCGTAGTAGCTTTGAGAAAGGAAAGCATGCCGTTATAGACTTGAATGAAGCACCTGAAGATAGTGATAGGTTTGAGTTTGGCACATGGAATAGTGAATATGGGCATCGTCATGGTAAATCAACTTCGGCTACTTCGAAACTTGTCGAACTGGAAAAAACTTTACAAGACTTATCAGCTGAAGAAATCAGTGACATGAAGTTTAACTCGGAAGCTAAAGCGGGTAATTTTTATTACACATACGATAAGTTTGTAGGATTCAACATCAGGAAAGATGACTTAAAAAATGACAAAAACCCCGTCCCAGTGTCAAGGAAATGGGTATGTTTGCGATAGGGGTTTCGAGCTACAAAATACTTAGACCGAGATGACAGGGCATGAGAACGAGGGAATAACTCGAGTTGGTTGTTTGGCAATATTCTGCGTTAAGTATGACAAAAAGAAAGAAAAATGGGTAGTAAAGAAGTTCATGAATGATCATAATCATCCGTTGGTTCCACTTAGTGGAGTGTTGTTCCTTCGGTCCCACCGCTGTATGAAAAGCCCAAACATAGAGCAAGCAACAACACTTCGCAGTGTTGGAATATGCACTAGCCAAATACAAGATTTTATGTTGCATCAAGCTGGTGGCTACCAAAATGTTGGCTTTACGCGAAAGGATTTGTACAACGATGTTGCAAGCCAAAGAAGAGAGGAAATGATTGATGGGGATGCTGAAGGTGCACTAGCATACTTGAGTGTGAAAGAGGAGTTAAACCCATTATTTTATTTCAGGTACAACGTTGATGATGATAATTCATTGAATTGCCTCTTTTGGGTGGATTCAACTTCCCGTGTTGACTATTTATGTTTCGGTGATGTTTTTGTATTCGATATAACATATCGCACCAATGCGTACAAAAAGTCATTTGTCATACTTGCAGGTGTAAACAACCACAACGCTAGTTGCATTTTTGGATGTGCATTACTTTCATATGAGACCGTGGACACATATGTGTGGGTGTTGGAGACATTTCTGGATGCAATGGATAATAAAAAGCCTATATCAGTTGTCACCAATGGAGACAAGGCCATGGCCACCGCAATCGAAAGAATATTTCCACATGCAAAACACAGACTATGCACACCTGAGGAATTTGACGTTATGTGGGAATCAATGGTACATTCATTTGGGCTGGAGGATAACAACTGGATATCAAATGTGTATACAAAGCGTTGGAAATGGGCTGAAGCATTCTTGCAGGGTCATTTCTTTGGCGGCATCAAAAGCACACAACGCTCAAAAAGCTTGAATGGTTACTTGAATCATTTCCTGAAAAAAAAGGCTGAGTTTGTACGAGTTTGTTAGACAGTATGATAGGGAGTGTATCAAGAATCCGAGAGACCGAAGCCTATGACAACCATTATTCTAAAAATAGTACACCAATGTTGACCACTTTACTATGCTGCTTAGAGCAACACGTTGCCTCACTGTATATCAAGTCAATTTTGTTTAAAGTGCGGGATCATATAAAGGCCGAAGGCCTCTTCTTCGTGGTCCAAAAAATTTAGCACAGTTATCATTCGAGTTATTGTCTATTGAAGTACACAAAACCAACATCCAGTTGGAATGTGATATATGATTATCAGAATCACACCATCAAATGCAATTGCCTGAAATTACAATCTGTTGGACTTCCTTGCTCACACATCATTACAGTTTTGAAAATTGAACATATAATAGAGGTCTCTCCTAGTACTATTCTAAAGCGATGGACAATTATTGCAAAATCAGCTTGCCCACTGACCTGTGTGCCTCAAACGTCAAGAACCATTTCAATTTCTTGCCGATATGTTGGATTAATGTCAATGTGTAACCAAATGTGTTACTATGCAACACAATTTCTTGAGGACGCACAGGAGCTTCGAACAACAATAACTGCAGTAACGAACCGCATGAAACAACGTCATGATACACGTGAGGCTAGACAGGTGTCGGCATCACATGACAAAGAAAATGACATTGTGTTGACTAGAAAATTTGGTGTCATTGATCCCAAGACAGTGACAACCAAAGGCAATCCAAGTCGTGTACGGAAGAACCTACCCATAGCACCGCGACGATGTAGTAAATGTCATGACACTGGACATACTATTCGTAAGTGTCCACAGCTTACGTGTCATGTGGACGACCCACATGATGACATGCCCTTCTCACAACTTGATGGCTCCCAACGTTCCATGCCATCAACTCAAGAAGACGACCATTGGAATCCTACTTACAATTACAATGTCCTATGATATTAGGTTTTATACATTATCACATTTAAATTACTTTGGAAAATTCAGTGCATACCAACATGGTTTTGATATCCATTTTTTTTTAACAGCAAGTGATCCCTGCTTTTGATTCAATTGTACACGGGCAGTAGATTAATACTTTTTTAGACAATTTTGGAGGTGAGTATGACCACATGTGCTTTGTCATTGCCTTCCGTTATTTGGTACAAACTATTCCATGATTTATTACCATACTGCACTGAATACTTCTTGCAGTGTTAACATGTACACGTCTAGCCACTGAAATATTCTGGGCTAATCCACCCTTTTGCTCTATGGTAGCTGACCACACAATTCAACTTTCTTAGGTTGCATGGAAGGTACAACTTCACTACCCTGTCTTTCCTGTATACATGACAAAGGCAAAATGAAGGAAGCATGTCTAAACATGTAATTATGTTGTTACAATTAATCCCATATAATGTGCAGATGTACAATTTAGCTGCATCCTTTGCATTACTTCATTGTTAAATCAAGTAAACATGAAAGAACGCACAAACCTCACATTCAGCGTAACAAAACTCAAAAACCATCAAACATCAATTTGTTTCTAACTACTAGCCAATATATTTAACAACCATGCACCCAACATCTACAACGCCCTTGCCAAAATGCCAAATATTACTATACAACAAAAAGATTCACCAAAAAAACACAAAGTCAATGTGTCATTTGTTGATGTACTCTTTAAAGTCCTTATAAAAACAATCTAATTTTGTCTCCAGACGCTGCAACGAACCATTCGTTTCATCCTCGAACTTTTCAAATCGGGCCTCCAACTTTTCAACCATTTGTTGGAGTGTTTGTCCAACATCACTAGTACCAACATCAGTACCACCTTGACTAGCCCCAGCTTGACTTCCCACAACCTGAGACACCGCTGATGGTTGCATCACATGCTTCACCCATTTCACACCCAGAATAGCTCCCATACTTTTATTAAGTGTACCTATGCCCATTGCATTCATGGGGTACATAAAAACTGTCATTCTGCTAAAATTCAACCCAACTATGCTTCAAAATCTTGGAAATTAATATTGAAAATGGAAGACATGGTCTGCAATCCTCGATAGTAGATGCTTCGCGAACATGGTTGAATATGTAAAGGGGTAGATCAATAATAACCCCACGTTCAGCAATAGCATATAATAGTTGGGTCGTATCGTATCCAATCTCAGCAGTATGCCCCTCGGATGTATATTACAGGCAACAATTCGGTTTATCAACCTATACGTTGGAGTAAGGTCAATGTGAGCAATTTTTCTTTTCTCATTCTCCCAAGGGACACTCCCAATACAAATACGTCGAATAACCCTCGCCATTTCGGGAACCTGTTCCTTACTTGAATATGAAAAGATAATGGAATTCTTAGGAATGTCTGGTCTATCAATTTTTAATATATTTGAAACAAGATCAGGCGAAACAGTGATGGATATCTTCCTAATGATTGTCTTAAATGTCAGCTCATTCTCCTTGTAGTTATGAACATTTGCATAAAAAAACTTAACCAATTCAACATATGTTTTATCTTCCACATTCACATCAAACAGAGGTTCCCATTTTCGAGCCCTAGTATTTTAGGGCAATCCATACTGCCTACTATCTCATCAAGGTAAACACCACACACTCAATTAATAGAAGACGTTTAACAATAAATGTATCATACCTCTTCTTAGCATCTTTATCCACAAAGAGTTTGACATTGCCAAAACTCCCCCCCCCCCCCCGACAACCACCTTCTTCCGTTTCTTTGTCTCGCCGCCTAACATCAACAAAGCTCCAATGTGTGACTTTCACTCTTCTCTGAATGAAGATTCACAATGGAAGTAGTTTGTGTACACGATAAATCAATGAAAGAGCTTTGGGGTGGTGGGCAATTTAGGGTTTATGGAATTGAGAGATTTTGAATGGGTTTTGTAGGATTTGGAATGGATTTTAAATGGTTTTTGTCGAATTTTGAATCGGGTTTTGTTGGATTTGGAATGGATTTTGAATGCGTTTTGTGGGCACGAGCAATTTAGGGGTAATTTTGTAGAATTTGTGGATTTATTTAGTATCATCCGATGTTTATTTACTACAAAGCCCCCCTTACAACACTCCAATTTATTACACTTTCTGGGCATTTAAGTAAATACATCATATCTGATCTATCATATTTAGTTTTGATCGATCGCAATCCCACTACCCCTTCAACTTCTACATCAGTAACTCCATGATCCATCATTATATACAATTGATTGATCAGATGTCCCTAGTATTTATGATCTGCAACAATATGATCGATTACTATAAAACTTTGATCGATCGAATTAACTTATTACTTACTGATCTATCAAATTGTTTACACGATCGATCAAATCTCCCCAATATTTTTTTTTATTTTTGATTCACATTAAAAATCTGTAACAATTTGATCGATCAAATATGGTTTCGATCGATCAAATCTCCCCATTACTTTTACTTCTGATTCACAATACAAATCTTCAATAAAATGATCGATCAATATATATGTATGATCGATCGAATTTACTTACTAATTCGATCGATCAAATTTTTTAACCATTGATCCTCTATCTTCAATACTTTTATTACTTCTGATTCACTTCTCATTCTGCAACAATATGATCGATCAATATGTATTTTTTGATTGATCAAATACACTTATTATTTAATGATCTATCATATTTTTACACGATCGATCAGACCCACTCAGTACTTTTATTACTTCTGATTCAAACTACAGACCTGTCCCAATATGATCAATCATCATATACGTTTGTTCGATCGAATTCAATACTTTTCTTTTTCCTTTTTTCACTACACCTTACCATATACTCATCGATTATATATTTATTCGATCGATCGATCAATATTTAATGATCGATCATATATTATACTGATCGATCCATTACGTTGACAACAAGTTTATTATCCTCGTAAATTTATCCACTATGGTTGTAAATATATATTTAATTTTGTACCTATCCCAATTACTTTTGTACATTTCTTACTGATATAGTAAATACTTCATTGTCTTTGTAGTTTGTTCCACTGATTTTCAAAATTTTTCACTCTTATTTTAATTATACAATTCATTTTGTAATTCTTCCATTACTATCGTTAACCTCGCAATGATTTTGTAAAAACACCTTATTAAGCCAAATAAGATCGATCATTCATATTCGTGATCGGTCAAATTATATACTTTTTTATTTTTTTCCAAAAATTCCTTTTTCTTACATCACTTCTTACCACATATTGATCGATCATATGTTTATTCGATTGATAAATATATAATGATTGATCATATGTTACATTGATCGATCTCTTACATTGACTAATAACTATAATATCCTCGTAAATTTATCCACAATGCTTGTAATTATATTTTTACATTTGTACTTATCTCAATTACTATTGTATAGTTCTTACTAATGTACTAAATACTCCATTAAATTTGTAGCTGGTTTCACTGAATTTCAAAATCTCTCACTCTTATTGTAATTATACCATTAATTTTGTATTGTTACCTACTAATATCGTTAACATCGCAATGATTTTGCAAAAATACCTTATTGAGGCACTATGATTGATCATCATATTCGTGATCGGTCAAATTATATATTTATTACAAAATTCCATTTTCTTGCACAACACCTTTCCACATAATGATCGCTCATACATTTATTCAATCGATCAATATTTTTATGATCAATCATTTATTGATGTCGTAAATACACCATTACCCTTATACTTGGTTCCACTAACTTTGTAAGAGTATCATTATCTTTGTTATTATATCTATTATTGTTGTAAATCTTGCAATTAATATTGTAAATATTTCATAACCTTTGTAACTCACTCATTGATATGGTACATCCTTCATCCATCATTGTTGTGTAGTATAAGTGGTAATAGGTCATTCTGGTTGCCTTACTTTTCCTTTACACGTGTTCATTTCTGCATCATTGTACAGTATTTTTTTCAGCTTTTAGCGCTAAAAATTTTCGGTATCATACCAAAAATTTCCTTGGATGTACCATATCCTAGTCCCTCAAATAATATGGTTGAGATAAAAGTCCATTGAAATCTCAGTACGATGAGATTATAAATTTTTAAATAGGATAATACTTCCATATAGAATAAGAAGATGGGTATTATAAAGTTTTGTGAATTGATGTACAATTTTTTTAGTTTTTTAAAACAAAAAAAAAATAATTATATTTTTTTGGGTTATACTGTAATTTTAATGATTTAAGTTATAATTTTTCTAGGGTCATTTATAATTTTTGCAACTACTTGGGATCGTCTTAAAATTTTGAGATCAATCTCAAGTAACCCAAAACTCATAAATGGTCACCAAAAATTATAAATAACTCTAAAATTTATTTATTTTTCGGTACCGTAATCTTTCCTTACAAATAAAATTATTGTTAAATTATTTTTTTGGTAAAGTAATAAGTTATTGTTTCTGTAAGTAATAAATCTTATTTTACACTTCAATGCATATACCAAAGTGAGAAAGGGGTTTTAGAGAGAGAATTTTTAAAGTGGGTAGATGGATAGATCAAAATAGTGCCAGAAGTAGAAGACACTGATCTCTGTTACTTTTGATCTCTTGAAAGTTGATCTCGCTTCATTAACGACTTCGGAAAGAAAAATACATCACAGAACAACTGATGCTTCATGCTTTGTGTGGAATCTATTATGAATTTTTATTTAATATTTAATTGGGAGATTATAAATAATGAGTACAAATCTAGAAAATATGCGTATTATTTTTTAATTTGGATAATTTATGACATTTGGCTACTCGACACCTTATTACTAGTTTTCGATAAAAATTCAAAATTAATAGGATGTATTATTACTAATAAATAAATTACATAAATATCAAATATAAATAACTCAATTTTGACATGATAAACATATTTGCTCTTGCGATATGAAAAAAATATTGCAAAGTTTTATTTTCTTGAGTTATTAAAAAATTAATATTTTTAGAATTAAATAAATTAGTTGACATTACAAGAATTTTGAGCGAGTAAATTTTTTTAGTTTACTAGAATTCTATAGTGCTTGCCTATTTGTTTGACCCAGAGAAATAAAGAGATCTTAATTGAGAAATAAGAATAGCATTAAACAAACATGCCGTGTTGAAAGTTGAAATTTTCTTGTTCTATAATAAATCAATATATTTATTATTTACATCAAATTGTGTTATTGTAAAATTTAGTTTGAGAAAAAAGTAATTATAATATATTAATTTTCTATTGAGTTCAAAAATTCAAATACTATTAGCATGCTATGAAAGAATATATAATTGGTTAGTGGAGAAGTCTATGGTACAAAAAAAAAATTCTGGTACTTATCGTCATTATAAATTTCTGATCTTTTTTTAAAATTTTTTGAGGATCATTTTATAATTTTTGTGGTTTCTTAAAATCGATGTTAAAAAGACTAGAATTGATTGCAATATTTTAGAATCGAATTACAAATTATTACAAAAATTGTAAGTTAGCAAAAAAAAAATGTGTTTTAAATCTTAAAAATTGTAACTTGATAATAAAAATTACAAATTCTATTATTGTAAAAAAATTATAAAATTTATATCAGAATTTATAAAAGTTATAAACTTCAGAAGTACAGTACGTAAAAAAAAAATTAAATATTCTACTCTTATCCTCCCACAGTTAACCAAAGGTGATACGCCGGTGATCAAGTGAAAAAACAAATTGTGTACCCACACCCGATTAAACCAACTCTTTGGATCAGCGGTTCGTACGGTGGAAAATAAAGACGACCACGTCATTGGATTCATCGTTGTGTGGAAAAATTTATTGTAATGTACTGTCGATTCCAATATTGTAAGGTGCAACCATAATGAAATCTACATCATTAAATGTAATTAATAATCACTTCACTTCAACGCTGATTTTTATTTTTTAGATACCAGATTAAAAAATAAAATATTTCTCTACTTACCTTGCACATAAAAAAAAAGGCAAAAATTCATAACCGGTATATAATATTTAAACAACAAGAATTGATAACAAAAATTAAAATTAATTTTAAAAAATGATAATTATATGTCTCTTATTGTAGACATTTGAGAAGTAAGGATAAATTTTTTAGTTTTATCGGTAGAGTACTATATATGTATCATTTAGGTATAAGTCATGTTTAGGAACATAATATGAGTATGTCATAGAAGATAAACATGTTTAGAATATTAAAATACACATACTGTGCGAATTTGAGTTTAAACAAAAATAGTTTAAAAAATTGGATAAAAAGGTATCACGGGGCGGCCTAGGTGGGACCGGCTAAATCCGGCCACTAGCAAAAATATATATTTTTTAAATTTTTTATTTAAAATAATTTTAAGAAATTTGGTTAAAATAAAATGTCGAATTAAGGCGTTTTGGAACGAGTTGTAGTGTAACGAGGTCTTGAATTCATCAAGGGTAAAAGGGTCTTTTTGCACCTTTGCCCCTCCACCATAAATACAGCCCTTTAGTGTAAAAATATCAATGTTTTTGGGCTGGGAAGGGTCATTACACGTTTTTGGAGGAAATGGGAAGAAAAATCTTAGGTTTTTCAAGCTTCAAGCCACCAAAACTCAATCCTAGGCCAAGACTCTTGCAAGACTTCATTCTAAAAAATTGTTCCTCTCAACTAGAGCTATATTCTCATTGATTGGTTTGGCTTTGAAGCAAACACAACTCCCTTGGTTTGAGAAAAACCATTTTAGGTATGATATTTTGCTAAGTTTGGAATAGATTTATGTTTTTTTGTCTTCCTAGATATTGATTGAATAATTTAGGTGTTTAATTGATGTTAGAAAATCATTTAGTTGGTAGTTGCTTTGAAAACTTAAAATTAGTGGTTTAAGTACTTTTGTGTTCTTTGAGTTTCTTGACAATTTGTTGTTATGGTGAAGGTGTATATTGCTTATGTGTTGGATTACTATATTATAACTTATGTTCATGTAGAGAAACTCTTGTGGTTTGAGAGTTATGATTTATTACATGAGTTGGTGGTTTGTGTATTTGTAATTTCTTTGAAAAATTGTGAAAGTAATAAATATGAAGCTTGATCATATGTTTAAATCCATTGAATGGTACTTCACATTTATGTAGATAAGATATTTGATAAAATGTTTCATAGGAATATGAAGTTTGATCATATGTTTTAATCCATTGAATGATGTTTTACATTCATGTAGATAAGGTGTTTGATGAAATGTTTCATAGAATTTATATTGAGAAAAATCATGATATCTTGGCATACATGAATCCTTGAAACATAGTGTGGGTTGAGCATTTGGTGCTATGCATTATGAGGATGTAGATCCTATTGTGAAAAATCCAAAATTTGGCCAATGACAGTACTCGCGGAAGGACGGGGGCAAACCGTGAAGCGAGACATGGGTGGCATAGAGTTGCATGAGTGTCATGCATATTGACATTGCATAGCATTGAGGTTGTAGCTTTTAAAAATGTACACTTGCACATGTCATGCCTTAAATTTGTTCCTAGGGTTAGCATTTTGTCATACCAGCAGTTCAGCTGACCCATTCATGGGATATCATATTACAGATGAGGCTTCCGGTACTTGAGACTTGAGGAAGTCTTAGAAGAAGGAGAGGAAAGAGATTTGAATGTATATTTGGTCATTGACATATTTTGTATGTATGAGCATAAACCCAAATGACTTGTATTCTAGTTTGAAAAAGTAGTGGATTAAAGGTCTTGGACTATTTTAATGTGTAAGAGTGTAAACTCAATTGATATATGTGATGTCTTTATTTAATGAGTATTATATGTGTATATTGGGGCAATTAGATGTATATATTGAGAATAAGATATGTATGTTTAATTTACATGGGTTGTGGCCACCGAGTGAGGGTGGATTGTGATATAATTATACATATGAAATATTGTGAATATTATGTGAAAAAAAGGTTTGGAAACAAAGGAGGTTATGTCAAAATTTTATGAAAAATTAAAAGACTTGTTAAGTATGTAAAACACCTTTTAAATAGGTGGGAAGGATGTCAAAGGGGGGGGGGGGGGGTTTAGAAACCTTGAAGAAATAGGTTAAAAATGAAATAAAAAGTGCTTGAAAAACTTTGGGAAAACATGAGAAATGACCTTTCATTTATTTTGTTTTTCCATTTTCACTCACTCCCCGAATTTGTGGAAATTCGAGGCGTGACATTTATTTAAAACATTGGATATAAAATACGTACAAATATAAGAAAAAAAATAATAATATTTGAAATTATAGAGTGACATTAACAGAATTTACTATTTTTTAGCTGAAGTTAAAAATGTTACGATAGTTAACATTTTTTAGGTAAGTTCAATATTGTTTTAGGTGAAATTAGGACCAATGTTTTGAAAATTAGGCATAAGTTCACCACCTTTTGTGGAGCTTTTCCCCAAACTCAGTCCTCCTCAAAACTTAATTCCATAATCCAGTTACTTTTAAACTTAATTATCAAATCAGTCTTTTTTTAAAAACGTCATTTCAAATGACGTTTTGTTCTCTAAAAACGTTATTTGGAATGACAATTTGAACATGAATTTTTTTTTTTCTAAAACATTATTCTTAATGACGTTTTTAAAGTTGTCATTTAAAATGACATTTTATAACAAGAATTTTTAACGAAATCTAATAGACGTTTAAAAATTAAAAAATTAAAAAACGTTATTTACAATAATATTTTCAAAAACGTCATTTTCAATTACGATTTCAAAGTCAGGCTACTTAAATTTCACATTTCACACAGGTTAGGTCAAAAATTTTCAAACATAACCACTCAGCTCTCTCCTCCTCCTCAGCCACTCTCCGACGAGGAAGATCATCGGAGAACCATCCACCAGCGACCACAGCGTCCACCAGCGAGCATATCCTCCACCAACGACCACAGCCTCCACCAGCGACGAGCACATCCTCCACCAACGTGCACAACCTCCACCACCGACTGAGCAATGAGCACATTCTCCATTCTCCATTTTTTGCCCTAAATCGATTTTTGCCCAAATGATTTGCTCCGTGGCCTGATCTATTCTGGGTGATCTGATATATTGCAACCACATATGTTAGGGTTCTAAGTCTTGTGTGATTATTTTGGGATAATCAGAATGTTTTTCTTGTTTTAAGCCCTTCAGAGAGCATCAGATTAATTAATATTGATTGATTTGATTCTTTTGCTGTAGATGAGTATTGGGAGGAAGTGGAAGGAAATTATTGATGTCGCTGATAAGATCTCCTACAGCTTTCATGTAAATTTCGGTACTCTTAAGACTGGCTATCTCTTAGAAGAGTGTTTCTCTATTTCTTACTGCTTTGTTTATTTCAGGATGATTCTAAAAAGGAAAGATCACCAAATGGTCGATACAACATGTGAACAATCCTTCGAGGTGTTTTTGGAGTTTTGTCTACCCTTCCAGTTGAAGTGAACCAGTATTAAAGAACTCGAAATTGATGCAATGTTTGCACCTTGCTACTGCTTTTTTGTTGACAGTAATTTGGATTTAAGATGTTCCTAACCAATGTAATACCTGGTTTCTGTGCTGACATTTGGGAAATATAAATCACCTAATGTTTTTTGTCAATCTGCTGCAATGTAGCAGGTAATAGATATTCGTGATTTATAAACCGGGGTGGAAATCAACCTCTCTAAAATGAGGATAAGCAACTATTTACCTCTCTTAAACCATGTTATATGTGGAAGTCTGTGGACTAGAAACACGTTAAATTATTACCCTGACTCCAAGGGTGTAGGTTCAAATTTGACCATTGTGTCTGTATAAAAATTCACCTCAACCGTTTCATTTAGGTGCCAAAATGTGGCAGCATATTCGGAGAAAAAGTCTCCAACAAAAAGTTTATACGTAATAATTGGGAGAGAAAATTATTTAGTTTTACTCTTTATTTTGTACTGTTTATTTTTAGACTCGAAGTTGTGATGTATCGTCTGTGTCTGAGCGGTTTCTCTTGAGTTTTATTGGGGTGCAGTTCATTTATTAAATGGCCTTATGGGTTCGGGCGATGCTCATGGATCTATGTTCATGGGTGTTTTCTGAACATATATCAAGAAGGTGAATCTAGGATTTGTATGTAATACGTAATAGAGTAACAAAGCTAGCTGTTATTCTATATAAATGTAAAATTATAGAAGTTTGTGCTGATTATTTTCATTTCTAGGTTAAATTCCACAAATAAATATTATAGCCTGGGATATTTTTTATTTTTATTTACTGATTTATTTATCAAGATGTACAGCTTGTGGGTATCAGGCGATGTTTGATGTTTTCCTTGGAATATATTAGATGGTTTTATGTTGGTGGTGGTGTTTTCATAATTTTGAATTATTGGTGCTTGTGATTTGTGTCAGAAGGCTCGGCTGATGGTGAGAAAAAGCTGTAGTTGGATCTACAGAGTCTTAATTCAAAGGGTAGGCGATAATTCTCTCTACTAAATCGGGGAAATCTCCACTTCTCATCTGGTATTTTTGATTTAATTTTGCGAGAATTGATGGTATTACAAGTAATAACCAGATACATATACTTTTACCCTTTTGTTTTTGTTTTCTTTTTTGAGTAGGAATCCAAGTAGATGTGGAATTGAAGGGTGCTGGAAATAGTGGGGCTAAAAAGGCATCAGCAGGCAGAGGAAAAGGCGGTTCTGATAGCAAAGATAAGAGATGGGGACGAGGTGCTGGTGTTGCTTCCAAGCGAAAGAGATGAAATGCGACAAGTGTAAGCAAGGCTGTAAGGGCCAATTTTTTTGTTCATAACCAGTTTAAATAGTGTTTCCCCACGTCGCCTTTTCCTTCTTTTTTGGGTTCCTTGGTGGGGTTTTTTGCAGCCTTTGTAAAGGGGAAGATAACTCTTTGGTCGACCTTTTGAGTGTCTTGTATTTTTTTGTTTTTTCCCAAAGTGGTGGCGAGTCATTGACGAGTATTTGATCAAAATATGCTAGCATGTAAGGCCTTTTTACACTCAGACCTTTTGAGTTTTTTTGTGGTACATTTTATTGATGCGGGGAACTACTGCTTTTGGTGGTCAAAGTCATCGCATGAACCAATTTTTGGTTGTGTCTTTCAGAAGAAAATCTTTTTACTCATTTATCATGGACAATTCTCTTGGAGTGCAAAAGTGGTTGTTTATAGAAGTTGCCTTAGAGAAGTGATGTTTTTAAACACATTTTACTTCCCCTTTGCCTCAGGCAGTTATACTTAATATTCTGATAGAAAAACTAGTAAAAGCAGAGTTAAAGCTTCTGATAGACCAAGCAACATTATTTTTTATATTTAATTGAGTGGAACACAAACCTTCTAACAGGGGAAGGGGGAGGGGGTTGTGGGGATATATTCCACCCTCGCAGATTAATTCTCCATCCGCACAAATAGATCAACGAATACGAAAGTAGGAAGAAAAGAAGTAGGGAAAAAAAGAATGTTGAAGTGACCTCTCGAGTATGTTTCATTTTGGAATACCGTGAGTACTTTAATCTCTGCCTGATTTCGTGTGTTGTTTTTAATGCAGAGTTTGGACGGCAGGGCAATCAGAGTTAATGTTGCACAGGAACGACCAAGGCGTAGCTCCTTTTGAGTGAAGATGATTGATTCTATTTGGTGGATAGATGTAATCTACAAGGGGTGATTGTTATTTGTCTTTCTTGCTTTGTTAATGCTAGTGACGAGAATTGCTTTGTTAATGCTGGTGACCAGAACAATTTTGTGGGAGTCCAAGAGTCTCTGTAATTGTCTTCTTCCTTCTTTTTTTTTTTGGGGGGTGGGGGTGTGTGTGCTAGGAAATACCTTTTTCTTTTCTTATTAATTCATTTACATTATATGTTATCTGTGGATATAGTGTTAATGTATAAAATCTTCCATAGCTCTTTTATAGGAATCAAATTTTCTCCAATATTTTTTGATAGATCATCCACCATTTGTTTTTTGGTTACTGGGTGGTTAAACTTACATCAACTATTCCCTCGAGCTCAATAACGGTTATCGTGATATGAGCTGAAATAAAACATATTCCTACACCATTAATGATAAAGTTACAAATACCAATCTGCATTTTTATCTAACGAACAGATTTTTGAGGGATTAGAGGCTCCAATTTTGCAAGAGAATTATGCCCCTTTATCATCCTCTTGAATGGTCCCTTAAAACTATGCCAGTTATAATGCAACCACAGTGTTTAGCAACCAGAACTAAAATTTCGATGAAACCATGCCAAGCTATTACTCTCAGACAAATGCAAGCAATTAAGCCACATCAATTGCTCTGTGTTGAAGTTTCGTAATGTCATCCACCATTCACCCTAATTTGATCTTACCTTCCCCCTTTGCTGCTCAATCTTTATAGGATATCTTTCACATTATAACATTGATCAAATTCGAGCCTTTCCAAAAGCTTATAGATACAGAGAGAACATCTTCTCAAAAATTTGAGCAAAGATAAGACCATGATAGAGTGTAGTGGAATAATGTAAAACATAAATTGCATAAAATTACTGTTGCAGATTGTTCATCTGAATGTTTCTTCATGACCTCCTCAACCTTGGAGCCATTGCTCTCCAGAAGTACCTGCAAATCATCATTGACCTAAAAAAATAATATATCAGAGCTCCTACATCATCAAGTTGTTCATGAACATTTATATTCTTTACTATTCACATGCACGTACAACATAGAAAGTTACAATAACATTTTTTTATCATGATTGTAAAAGATGGAGGCAAAACATAATTATTTTGGTTATGACATTATGTGGTATACCAATTGAGTGAATCTGAGTTTAACAAGCTCCGTTGCTTATTTTATTTTCTTGCATGATTTCATATCCAACCGTTTTTGATTTACTTTTCATACTTCATTAATAAATGTGTTTTGATTCTTATAAAAAAAAAAAAGTACACCAAGCTCCATGCGTGCGCTTGTATTTGTCTGTGTGTGCAAGAGAGAGAGAGAGAGAGAGAAAGCAAAACAGAAAAAGGGGGGCAGGGGTGTGGACACTGCAGATAGCACTTTATCTCTCCTCCACCACCAATACTAACTGACTGGGACTCCATAGAACAAGCAATTTAATCCTCATGCAAAGTCAAAAAGCTGGTCCATGGTTTTTTTTTTTTCCAAAGCACACTGCGATAGCACTACCGTATGCACTTTTCATCACTGTGTTTGTGGTGGCAGAAAACGTCATTTACAATGACGTTTTTAAACTTTATTTTTTTATAACGTTTGTTAGTTGTCGTTTAAAAATTTATGGGTTAAAATATTATTAAAAATGACGCCTTTAAAAAAGTCATTTTAAATGACGTTTTTTCAAAAAAAAATTCGGTTTAAAAACGTCATTTAAAATGACGTTTTAACTTATAAAGGCGTCATTCAAAATGACATTTTTTAAAAAGACTGGGTTTGAAAAATAAGTTTAAAACAGACTGGTTTAGGGAATTAAGATTGTGGGGAGGTGGGTTTGGGGAAAAGCTCCCTTTTGAGAGTAGGTTATCACTTTTGGGTGGGAAGTTACCACCTTTGCGTTAGATTACCATTTTGTGGGAGTAAGATTATCACTGTGGGGTAAGGTTACCATTTTTTTGGATAATGTTAGCACTTTTTTGAGTAAGATTACCATTTTTTTTTTGGATAAGATTACTATTTTTTTGGATAAGATTACCATTTTTCTAGGGTAAGATTATCACATTATTTGGTAAAGAACCACTGTTTTAGGGGAAATTAGGGAAAAGTTCACCACTTTTTATGGTAAGTTACCACATCTTGGGTGCGAAGTTACCACCTTCAGATTAGATTATCATTTTTTGGAAGTAAGGTTATCACTGTGAAACTAAGTTATCACTTTTTGAGAGTAAAATTAGCACTTTTTAAAATAAGATTAGCACTTTTTTATGTAAAAAACCTGGGATAAGTTTACCATCTTTTGGATTAAATTATAAGTGTTTGGGGTAGGGTTACACTTTTTTGGG